TCCTTTTGCTTCATTATGATATGATTGATATCCACTATTGTGCGCAATTGTTTACCCAAATCTAGGGCAGAAGTGACACTGTTGAACCTTGAGCAGCAAATACATACACATGGATAGTCTTTTGAAATTGTTCCTCTTACCCTTGCTTAAAAGATGACATTTACTTTTCTCGATATTAAAACAGGTATTTCTTAATTTCGCAGAAGCATGTCTTTGTAAGGCAATATTTTGAAAATTATTCGGTGTATAGAAGCGAGAAATACATCAATTTGAAGCTCATAAATAGCCGATTCTTCGTATTTGGTATCTTAAAATGATCAATCAAGATTTAATGCTTTATTCGCTGACCAAAATAGGCTCGTATTTGTTTCCGCAGTACTTTGGACCAGCGTGCATTCGAGCATACACAGAGTTGGCGTGAATTTTTCCCGGTTCATTTACATTTTTAAATATTAATGATGTCTGATATTTTAAATATTAATGACCATTTGAGATTTAAGTTGAAAATAACATTCTCCTCGGAAGGGTGCCTATCATATAAATGTGAGAAAACAAGATGCCAACGAGGTGATATTTACATTGTCAATTCCCAACGAAATTTTAATCAAATGGCACCAAAAAAAATTCCAGAAGAAAATTTCCGTGTCATTTGTGGATTTGTTGTACCATTCGCAAAGATTTAAAAACTTCAAGTGGCAGGCTAGCAGCCGAGTTTGTAGTGCTCATTTCTCGGGAGGACAGAAGCAAACAACCCACAATATTCCCGGTGTCTTTCCTCGGATTGACAAAAAAAGTGGGGAAATTGTTTGGCCGGTTGATATATCCCATTTATTGAAAATTGAAGCGTTTTCGGCCACAGAAAGTGTCTATAAACCGAAGGAAAGCAAAGTCATTTCTGTCAAGGAAAATATCACCGTAGAGCAAACAACCAACGAATAACAAGCTGAAGTTACAAACCATGTATTGCCAAACGAGAGGCCGATAGAATCATCAGGAAGGAACTGCAATTGCCAGGAGCAAATCGACAAATTGTTGAACAGAATTTCAGGACTTGAGAAACAGTTGGAATCACCGAAATTTAAAGTGAAAAGGTTTCAGTGTTCGGACTCAGATATACAATTTTTTACAGGTCTTTCAGGTTACGACGTCTTCCTTTATTTGTATAACTTTTTGATACCAAAAGCAGGATTCCAACTTAATTACCACAACAAGGTTAACTATAAGAGTATTTCCAAGGATCCATCATACATTGTCTCAAGGGGAAGGCCACAAAAACTTTGTGCCATTGACAAACCATTTCTGCCATTGACAAGGCTGAGGCTTGGACTTCTGGAACGTGATCTTGCAGCTAGGTTTAACGTCTCGACTACTGAAGTGTCTGAAATTTTTTCAACATGGGTTGATAGAATGGCTGATTGCCTGAGTCAAGTAACATTTATAACTGATTGGGAAACTATGAAAGTTGCTTTACCAAGTTGCTTCAAACCAGATTATGAAAATGTCTACTTTATTATTGATTGTACAGAGCTGTATATTGAAAAGCCATCTCAGATAACCCAACAAAGCGCTACATGGTCTGAGTATAAAGGCCATAACACTGGCAAAGCTTTGATTGCTTTGTCTCCATTGCTGCTTCCCGTATTTGTTTCAGATGTCTACCCTGGAAGATGATGAAGAAGTAGTCAGTGTGGTATCCTTGAACATGCACATAGAGGAGATATATGGCTGGCAGACAAGGGGTTCCTGATTCAGCACATCCTGGATGGCTATGGAGTTCGAGTTCAGACACCGGCCAAATTGGAGGGCAAGAAACAATTTAGTGAAGAGATGGATATCAAAAATGTTGAGGGGGAATTTCCCCATCTGCTGTGTGCACCTGCTATCTAAGATATGTGCCTGGTTAACAGCTTTTCTGCCACCTTTAATTGATGAGAAAGAGGAAATGGGTGGGGAGAGAGAAGAGTAGGTTATTACTGAGCATTTTCATAAATGGCTGCCAATTTAAAAAATTAAAAAGCCCTTTTATATGCATATCAATTGACCTCACTAGCCTTGGCCTGATGCTTACATGCCAAATAATTTTTTTGCTTTGAAACAAGGTTGGTTGGTCTAATGTATATTCACAAATTGGCAGCCATTGATGGAAGTGGTGTATATATATATATATATATATATATATATATATATATTAATATATATATATATATATATAGATCTGTTATAGACCTGGAGCGAGGGGGATTCAATGAAATATTACCCCCAAGGGAAGATATATCCTGAGGGATATATCTTCCAGAGGAAAAGCTGGGTGAAATGGCTTCTTTTGCCTTCATTTTGAAATTGTTGACAACCTCGAGTCGTGTGCGAGGCATCCACGCGTGGTACACACAAACTCGAATAGCCTGCTGCAGCGGGGTATTCGAAGTCAAATACCCTGCTGCAGCGAGGTATTCGACTTTCATAGCATAATGTGAAAAAATTCGATGGAACTCCATGATCAATTTACTGATCACATGGTACAAATCGAGCTTTCTGATTGGATGATTTACAGTTGAGATATAATACTATATATAGTATACCCAGTTTGAAATGAACCATATTGTAATAATAAATTCTATAAAACTCTTACAATGTTTTTGGTTCATTTACTACTGAACAGTATTATATAGCCTACATGCATAAACATCTCACATCTTTTAACAAGTCTGCGAACAAGCCATCAACAAGGTGTATTCACACTGGTTGTTACAAATTGTCAACAGGTTTGCAACAACTTGTCGACAACTTGGAACATCCTTGTTGAAATCATCAGACTTCAACCAGCAGTGTAAATACAACTTGTTGACAGCTTGTGAACAGAGTTGTAACAACTTGTTTGCAAACTTGCTAAAAACTGTGCATTTTTATGTGTGTACTATACCTGTTGTATTTATATTGTATTTTATTGTATTTTATATATTTACTGAAACATTGTATTTTTTGTATTTTTATTTATATGCTATTTAAACAGTATATTTACACCCATAATGAATAACATAATGAATATAATAATTATTGAATTAATACTTGAATGAATATTTGAAGAATTATTGAATATAATATCTATTGAATCATTGCAATTGTAAACAAAATAATATATGAAATATTATTACAGTGTACTGTATGTGTTATGTGATTGTATTGTTTTAGCAAACAACACTGCATTCCGATTTTAAAAATCTATTAAATCTAAACTTTCACCTAAAATCTCACTTCATTGCACTGTTTTGCCAGTCTGTTGGCCCACTGCCTTAAACAGGTTAAGTTTTCAAAGTTTGGAATGTCATTTTCCAAACACAGTAAAGGTTCAGTCACAGTTATGTTAGAGAAAATAGCATCACAGATTTTCAAGAAACATCGAACAAACTGCTCATCCTTTTTTATAAAAAATACCTGGAAGTCCTGGTCTCAGATACAAAAGATTGGAGAATAGCCACAGTAGCATTGGTACATTCTAACTGCAAATTCACTTGGCAGATATGTGCACCTGTTGCTGCAGATAAAGGTTCAGCCTGTCCTTCTGCTCTGGTTTTTATTTCCAGTAAGCACTTGGGTGGAAAGGATATTTTATTACCAGTTTCCACTTCCTACAGTTGCTTGCACTTATCTCCTGAAAAAACACAGTCAGGTGAGGCGCCATACATTTCTGAAGATGGAAGGGGGATAAATCCAGGTGTAGTCAACTGGACAGCAGCATCATGTGCAAATGAATCTGCTGCTGCTGATTCATAAACAATTCCTCTTGTGAAATTTGTGTTGTACTTAGGTGGTTATTGTTATTTACTTAGTATGCAGCCCCAGGTGCCAGTGAATTATTTTTTCCCATAAAAGCCAACCACTGCAGGAGCTTTTGATGCTGTTACTTTCCCAATTTGTTGATTAAACCATGATTGGCTTTTTTGTGGGGATTCTACATTCTCTTTATTTTTAGAATGCTTGATGAGAAGAGAAATACAATTTCCTGCCAAAGGGATTGGAGCACACTTTTTCAGATCCTCTTGGAACTCCTGAAAACAATTAGTAAAAGCAACATAATTAACACTCTACATGTATTAATTTGAACCAAATACCCAGTGCTACTACCATACTTGCTTTTCAGACCAAATGCTGATCAATCTAAATCTTGCCCTTACCTTTACACACTGTTCATCAATCAAAGGTTCTCCTCTTGGCCTTAAAGTGTTGGAGAACATCACTTCATTGGGGAGTTTTCTTTTTCCCCCTGGCATGACAGTCTTCATGATAGATAACATGTTTTTGAAAGCTAATGTTTTGTAGTGGCGCTCTCTTCAATACCTCTTTTTCTGGGTCTTGGTGGGCTTTAAGGCTGGGTACTCCCCACTGCTGGCGGATGTCTGTGCAACTCAGTGGTTTTGGAAGTTGTGACTCCCCAGACATTTTGGTTTGTACCAGCTTGTATGCCAGTGCAGCAATATGTTTACACATACCACGCTTTCCAGCTGGGCAAGAGTGATCTCTTGCAGCCAGGATTTCTCCAGACTGTTTGAAAATGATCATTCCAGTGCACCGCAACCTGGTTTAGGGCCTGTTCATATGAGCCGGGCCAGCCCGCTTTAGCCGGGTAGCCCGCTTTTGCCGGGCCAAACTGTTTTCGCAATCATATGAGGCGGGCTGGCCCGGCGAAAATAGTGTAATTAATTTCCGCGCATAATTGTGTTCTATTTCGCGGGAATATTTAAAATGTGTTGTTGATGTTTCAAAAACACAATCATGTTTTTACCGGCTATCGCAGCTGCATTAGGTGGAATTTTTTCACTAATTTTTCAAATGCAAATGGTTCTTTTGACTTGGAAAATACATGTCAAGTATCGGAACGATGCAATTATGGCTTTTTTTACGAGAAGGCGTTCTCTTATTTATCGTAAGTTAAAATATGTAAGGCAAAGAAGATTGTTCAGAAAGAAGAGAAGATTCTGGGTTCAGGCTGGAAGGACGGAAGAATGGTGGCAGAATATGATAGGTGGAACTGCTCCGGAGGAAGCGTGGAAAAACGACTTCCTAGAGAAGGGTTCATGGAATTGGCAGAAGAGCTTCGTCTGTTTATTTCACCAAATCCTTTATCGCCAAATTATCGTGCATTGTCCACTGAGAAAAAACTGGCAGTGACTTTATATTATCTCAAAGATACTGGTTCCCTTGCAATGACGGCCAATACTTTCGGGATTGCAATAAATACAGCTTCTGTTCTCATCGGAGAAGTATGCAAGGCAATTTCTGAAAACCTTGGACCGAAATACATTTACATGCCTTGCAATTGTGACGAAATGAGAAAAAAAGTATCCGAATTCAAAGCCAAATTTGGAATGATTCAAGCCATGGGCTGCATAGATGGGACACATATACCCATTAAAAAGCCACACAAAAACTCGCAAGATTATTTTTGTTATAAGCAATTTTATTCATTAAATGTAGCTACAAGCCATTTGCGATTACAGAGGGCAATTCATGGACATAGAATGTGTATGGCCCGGAAGTGTGCACGATGCTAAGGTGTTTGCTAATTCCTCTGTTAATCATAGGCTGCAAGGTAACAAACTCCCAAGAACCTTTCAATCAGTGGTTCCTGGCTGCAACCTTGTACCAAACTACCTCATAGGGGACCCTGCATATCCTTTAACACCTTTTTGCATCAAAGAGTATGAAAGCTGCAAAAGCAATGAACAGGTTGTTTTCAACCAAATGCTAAGATCAGCAAGAAACCCAGTTGAGTGCGCCTTTGGGCGTCTGAAGGCACGTTGGTCAATCCTAACAAGGACAATGGACTTATCACTGAACATAATACCTACTGTCGTTTATGCATGTTTTACACTGCATAATTTTTGTGAGAAGCACAACACATATGTTAACCCAGATCAGGTACAAACACAATATGATTTAATGCAAGCAAATGAGGAAGAACATAGGAACTTACCTGACCCAATTTTTTCTACCAACACTGATGAAGGTGACACTATTCGCAAAGTGTTGACATCCTATATCTATACCTGCCTTCCAGATCACTTAACATAGTGTGGTTGATCACTTGAGAAAATGGATATGTACAGTATGAAAACTGAACAATGTTAATGGTGTCTGTTAATGTTTTTTGTTACAAAGTAGTAATTTGATATTTTATAAGTAAGATATAAAATATTATAACATTTGCATTTTGTTATAATTGTACAAACAATGCCAAACAACAACTCAACAATCAACAAGGCCATTATTGCATAATTATGCTGCACACGCAAATGGTGTATGAAACAGTTACATCATCATTAAGGAGAAAGTGTCAAATATGGATTTTCTCCAGAGAAGTGTCCACATGATGTGGACAACAACAATATGTGATGCTTCCCTAGGCTATAATAAAACTTTATAAATAACATAATTACGTTATCATGTTAATGGTCAACTTTAACAAAGTTTAAAACAAATAATAAATATCAAAAAATATGTCACAACTCATATCCAGCTTTTAGTCATTCAAAGAAACAAAATTGTTTTCATCCATATTATAATACCTTTGCCCTTGTGAACTTGTGGCTGCAGATCCTGACAAACCAAAAGGTTGACCTCCTGCATATGCAGCATTTGTTACATAATTAGGTGAAATGCCTTGGTGAAAAATTTTTTGGTTGACAGGAAGTTGTTGCTGCGGTAAACGGTTTGCTGAAGTAGCATGTGCAAGCATTTCTAATGATCGACTAAGTCGAGCTCCAGCCTCACTCACTGATTTGCACATGCACTCCATGGCTTTCAAAAAGCACTCATTAGATTCCTTCATTGCAGCTGTGAAATTATTACGAGCCTCTCTATCTTCTTTCGCTTCATTGATCAAAATTTTATCCCGCTCTGCGGCTGATAAGTTCTTCTCTAAATTTTTGCGTTTGTTATCCACAAGTATGGGGAGGGAATTTGCTGTAGACTTTCGTTTTTGCGCTTGACTACCACTACACCCTACATCATCAAAATCCTCATCCTCACTCAATTCATCTTGCTGCCTGTTGTTTTGATTATTCAGCATTTCTGAGCTTGTTCCAAATGACAGTGGCTCAGTGTTGGCGGATCCACCCCATATAGTAATAGCTTTTCGTAGAACTCGAAGACTATTTTACCACATCCACTGTGTGTGCCCGACACTACAGCTTTCGAGAAACTCTGTCGTATTTCTTTGACTTTCTCAACAATACGATTATATCCCTTGGCAATGCACAATTTCACACTAGCCTCCTCTTTCTTCATTCGTGCCCTTTCTTCGTCGCTAATCTCCTCAAGCTCATCATCTGAGAGAGGCACCTTTTGGCTTACAGGTTCGAAGAAAGATTCATCTTCATCTGCGTATAACTTTGCCATTTCTTTCCTTAAATGTTTATATTGTGCTGGTTTATCAGCATCAAAATCTAAAGATTTATATTCCATAACGGTTTTGTATGATGACAAACAATTGATTAAGTTTTCAATCATTTCTGGCGACCAGCGAAAATATTTCTTTCCTTCATGTTTAGCCGCCATTTTGGAATTAACTTGAGAACAATGAGCATGCGCAGTCGTAGCACTTCCAGCCCGGATGAGCTGGGCTGGCCTGCTTGATGTTTTCATATGAGCCCTTTAAAGGCGAGATCTCGCTTTGTTCAGGCGGGATCTCGCCAAAGCCGGGCTGGCCCTGTTCCATATGAATGCAATTTTACAAATAAAGTAAAATAATACGCGAGGCGAGATCCCGCCACTGCCGAGCTGGCCCGGCTCATATGAACAGGCCCTTAGCAGACTTTCCATTTCGTGAATTAAAAATTAATTAGCTAGTATCAGGTATATATTTTGCATCATAGCTGCAAAATGCGAATATGGCCAGGTATGTATTTCACCCTTTTTCATTTGAAATGTTATTCTTTTGTTAGAGTTTACACCTTATTAATGTCAAGTGCAGTCCGAAAATAATGAAAAAATTTGAATTTTTATTGGAATTTTCTTGAATGAACATTTTGATTAATAATAATAATAATTCATACGGCTTGCTTTACCGTGATATTTGCCGCGGTTGGACGAGGAAGCCAGTCTTCTGTGTGACATGCAGTTAATATCATACATGTAATTTCTTTATGCTTGTGTTCATAGATAAAGTTTACTGATAGCATGGATACAGTTGATGACAAAGGGCCAAAACGGGAATTTCTAAGGTTACTTTGGAATAATGTTGTCGAATGCTCGGGGATTTTTCAGGGGACGGCAAATGTGGGAAAATATGTTCTGACACACAATGCCAATAAACTAAAAAACCACAAGTATTATATGGCTGGAAGAGCGTTTGCAATGTCACTAATCTTTGGAGGAAATCCACCATCAGTTCTCTCGCCATTGATTTATGGTTACATTACCGTTGGCTACGATAAGACCAAACCATCTTTAGATGAAGTTCCGTATGGCGCTCATAGAGGCCATTCTGGTGCTTTTGTTTGTGGAAACACTGAATACCATATTATTCGTCTTGCACAATTACCAAAAAGTATTTCTCAACGCTATGCATAAAGTAAGTAGGTATTTCTCAACGCTATGCATAAATCTATTTTGTTTTAACTCCTCGATATTGATAATAATGTAGCTCTTTCTGAAGTGATGCAGGAGAAAGATGTCGCTGAACTGATGTTTGATGCAGGCTATCAGAACTTTATGTTGTTTAAATTAAAAGATATAAAATCTGTCGTGAATCATGTAGTTAAGTTTTTGGTGATTGGTAAATGCAGGTAATGTACAAAACATTTCGAAGTACGCACTAAAGTTTCTTGTTTTCTTAGTTTAGTTAAAGTTATGTTTGTTACAAAAAGTTTTTACTAACGCACAGTAGCCATTGTTTTGTATACTGCACCTAGCTCTTCCGACTTTGCGTACACATTGTAAAGAAAACGCTTTTGACTGCACAACATTGCAAGGTTGTACACTTTTCTGTGGAGCCAGTGCCTAGGAGCAAGGATAATGAGCAAACAAATTTACTGCTTCTTGTTTTTCCTATTTTGAATACCACATAAATAAAACGAGCAAAATCTTACTGGTGTGCATCCAGCTCAAACAAATGCCAATTAGTTAATGATATCTTCAGGACTCATTTGAAACAAACTGCTGGTCGAAAGATAATAAATTTTGGTCATATATATATTTTTTTTTGTGTACATAGAAGTGAACTTGAAGAATTCTGTAAAGGTTTGCATCATTACAAACTGCTAGAGCTCATCAGGATGCATGCACCATCGTTCCGAGCTGTATTTGTGTATGGCGAAGCTGTACATAAAGATGTCTGTTCCACATATTTAATTGACACCTTTGTGCCGCAATTCAGTGAGGTCGGAAGCAATAGGAGGGAAAAAGAAGATGTATATGATTTATGGTTATCTTTTGTTAGAAGCACTTCAGGTTGAAACTTGTCAATATATATACGCCATAATCTTGTATAACAGTGTACACTTTTTTGCATATACATGTATATACGCCATAATCATGTATAAAACTGTACTTTTTTGTCACAGAGCCAGATTCCAAAGTCGAGCCAAAGGATATTCTACGTTTTGCTAGTGGTGCCAAGAACAAACCATTGCTCGGATGGGGATTTGATAAGAAGCCGATGCTAATATTTGTAGAGTCTTAACTGCCTACTGAAGATGGAACGATGCGGTTACGGGAGTCCAAGTTGCCTCAGGCACGGACATGTGGTCCCACTATTTTGTTACCAACTGCTTCCTATTGTGATTTCAAATAATTCAAAGATCAAATGACGGATGGAATAATCGGTTCACCACAAATCTTGCTGATTTAATGAACACAGAAATAAATATATACATTTCATTGAAACTTATGGTTGCATTCTTCCCATTTTGTTGCAGGTAACTGCTTTTACCTAGCTATTGTTTTTTTAAGTTCAAACTTGGTATTACCATCAGAGATTTAAAAACACAAACATGCAAAAGAGGTCATAAACTAAGAAAAGTCTAAACAACTTACTTGACCCTGTGTCATATTGTTGTTTATATCTGAACAAGAAGTATAGCATTAATTTATTGAATAGCCTTATTTTAAACCTAGTTTTCATTAAATCTGAACACTTCCAACAGTAGCCGCAAACCAATCCCCGAAACTTTATCGTGAGAGGCTTTTTTATCCATAGTTAATAGAAAACATGCTTAGGAAGCTCAACAAAAGTGATTCCCCATATTTAATGGAAATCAGGCCTCAAGTTTGTCAATTTGTTCACAGGAATAAAACAGTCAATGGTTTTTTATAGCAAGATTGTAAATAACTTAAATGTTTATGTTTAATTAGCTATTGCCATAGGAATAGAGTACAATTGCTCGGCCTCCTCCCAATTTTTTGGTTGTTGAAATCCACTGTTCTCGAAAATATGGTGGAAGTACTCTTGCATGATATTTTCATCTTCATCAAATTGCAAAAGGTTTTCCTGAACAAACTGGATTTGTTCTGCGGAAACAGGAAGAGATAAATTATCTAACCCCCCTTTTTCTCTGGAAAACAGTACAACTCCTCAGGTATGCCGGGAATTGTGTTGTGCTTTGAATCTCGGATTCGATGTGTATTCCATTGCTCTTTTACATAGTCGAGGTCATTCTGAATCACATCAGAAAAACAGAACCACAAGCGCTCCTTTTCAAGCTCATTATCAGGATTGAAAAAATTCCTTTCACATAGATCTTTGAAGTAGTTTATCCACCAAGTGGAACGATTTCTTCTGAATTGGGACCACCAGCTTTCGATCCTTTGGTTGGCTGGCGATGTTCCGAAAAAATGGGCTTCACCATTCGAATGAAACTCGCACTGCATAGCGGCCATAATGCCGTTCTCAGTGCCACAGTCGCTTCGTAATTTCACTGGACAGCCATATACTTGAACACTCTGTAAGTAGAATGACGCCGGTATCTCTGGCTTGTTGTTAGACCGTGCCACGTGCAGCCATATAATCTTGCGACTCCACCCATCAATACACCCATGTATCGGGAAACCATAAGGCTTTAATTTGTCATACCCGTCGGTGTGCCAACAGAAATTAGGGCCTGGTACTTGATATGTTCGCCTACGCAAACGTTTTGCATGTCTGATTTCACAGCCATCTGGGTCGAGCTCCCTCATCAGCTCTTCTCCAATACGCCTTGGGACTTGATGTCCTTCCGTTCTTAGAGCATGCCACATCGAACGGTATCCACCCATATTACCAGGACGGTTCAACTTAGCTTGTATTACACGACGTATCTTATGAATCAGGAGATCTACGTCGAAGACCATTTTCTTTTAGACGATTTCTTAAAGTTCGTTCCGAAATATCGATCCCATGCTTTTTTGACAAAAAATCGAGAATAATCTTATACTGAAACCCCCTCAAAAAATAGTATTCTATCAAATCTTGTTCATCTTCAGTAGAATCTGAATCAGAGGAGATTATGGCAGCCATATTGGATTCTATTTATTTGAGTTCAGGGTGTATGTGTCGTTTATGCAGCCTAAGACTACTTAAAATCTATTTCTGCGAAAATATATATCTGTGTACTGGGGACAAATATATCTGCGTACTGGGGAAATACATATCTCCGTACTGGGGGAAATATATTCCTGGGGAAATATATTTTTGCGTACTGGGGAAATATATTCCTGCGTACTGGGGAAATATATATCTGCGTACTGGGGTAATATATATCTGCGTACTGGGAAGATATATATCTGCGTACTGGGGAAATATATATTTGCGTACTAGAAATATATATATATATATATCTGCATACTGGGGCAATTATTTCTGCGTACTGGAAATATATTTGTTGTACTCTTCATATATTTATGACGTATACAAATATTTTCCCGCAAATAAATATATATTTGTGTGATAAATATATATTTGGGTTGCCTCTGTGGGCCACCATAGCTTTTGCACAGTAGTTGTCATCATGAAAACCGAGATTATAAATGAAATTATAATGTCGTTTATCTCATTACATTCAGATTCAATGTCGTTTATCTCAATACATTGAGATTTATAGTGAAATACATTTGAGAATATTAAAGTTGTGTTTACCACAAATAAATTACTTTTTAACGCTGTGCCGGATGAAATATCTAGTGTAAAATCTTCCGACTTCATTATACACGGTAAATTCGGTCGAAACTCAAAAATTTGGTCTTGTTATTTGTTAAACCGCGAAAAGTCCTGACCACATTTGAGATTTCCTCTAATTTAATAAAAAATACATATATTCCATATATATGAAAACATAAATTTAAAAATTTCATGAAAATTTTGCGAAATGACAGTTATTCACTCATGTTTGAAAATACAAATTTTTGTCTCGACCAATCAAGAGCTTAATAGTTCACACTGGCGCATGCGCATAACGTAGAAGACCGTCCGTGGCGTGAGGTCCATTGCATAATGGCGGACGACTTTGATTTCGCATTGTGGGTGTAAATATCTGAGCGGAATTAGTACCCTCACACAGTGCTCCGCACCGGCTCGGGATTAGTGTTATTTCCCAGGAAGATGATGAATTATGCAACATTGACCATTTATCACTGGAAGAATTGAAAGCCAAGATTAATGCGATGAACATTAAAACATAAGTTAGAAATGTTGAAAAACTCCAGCAACTTTTGAAATATGTCATTTATGCTGCCCAATAAAGCAGCGAGGTAATCTTATAATTATACCAAATTATGAATATAATGTAAAATATTCATGTAAACCATACTTTGTTAGGTTATAAGCATACATGTATTACCAAAATGGTTTTTAACAATTTTAAAAATATTTTAGAACAATTGCAATATGTAAACTGTTTGCTTTTATATATTTTGAACTTTACATGCCATTTTTACAAAGTAAATCTTAATTTTTCAATATATGTTATTGGAGATTCACAAAGTACTCCATTTACATCAACATTAAAGTTTTTGCCACCAGACGTCCCAAGATGAGGTCTCACTTTTATGGGAAGATCTACTGCTTTTCCCTCCCCATGCTGGTCTAAAGTGTAATACCAATGATTTGGTAAACTACAGAACCTGTCAAAATTATCTCTTTCCAGTAGATAGGATCCACTCCCATTTGCTCTACCCTTGCCTTGTGAAAGATATCTCCACATATCCAGTCTAAATGGAACGTAACCATGCGCATCAATCCCTGAAGATTTCAATCCTTGAATTATAGCAGTGTGGAAAGCCAAACAGCATTCATCTATCCAATTGTCGCTTATTGGTGGATAATGATAGCTCCTATAGTAATAAACCCAAGCAATTCATTCATAAGTTTAATTTGAGTTTAATTCTTTGCAATACTTGAAATATGAACATATATGTACAGCCACACACACAGAAGTAAAGTTGCATCTGGTCCCCAAGATCCCCATTCTTTCTGGTAAATAATTATATATTTTTTATTAATCGAAGGGTTAAAACAGAATAGAATTCAGGTTAGGGATAAATCATAGACATTTTCACATAGACTCTTTCTGCTTCATAATACTTTGTTTTGGCTACATAAACATTGCACAAATTGTGCATGTCACTGTAGGAAATGTCTGGTTTCGCCAGTGTTGCCAGATGAAATTTCAAAATATTCATGTTCGCTTACGTCAAAAGTTCACAAAAATGACAAAAAGTTCATATATCTAAATTTTACGATCGGAAAGTATCGGAAAACGTCGGAAAATGTCGGAGATTATCGAGATTAACAGAATTCACCGCAATTCCCCCAAAGATGATAAATACCAAATAAAAATGAGAAACGTACAACTCTTTTTTCCAAATCGTATTGATTAAAAACACGAATGTCAATTGTTAACAGGCTATATTGTTAACTTAGTAATACACGAACTTTGTTCCCAAGGGTTGTTTTCCTTGTAATGTGCCCGTCTCTCTTTTTCGAGCAACATATATACGGAACAAAAAAAAGTTAGGCTTGAAGTTATTTTGCCGTAGCAATAAAGGTATATTCTGATGAATACTTAATGAGTTTTGGATGAATCCTTCATGAGTCCATGCTCGGTTCACTTTATCACTTACAAGTTTTAAAAGAACGATTCACGAGTCCATGCTCGGTTCACGCTCGCTGTCAGTCGAGCATAAAGGATGTTGCTCGACATTCTTTCTTTAGCTCCAAGAGGAGGAGAAAACTTCACACAACCCCCGGACATCTTCACGCCATCCTTGACCTTTATAAGTGCACGGACAGTTGCGGTTTGCAATCGATTTCTGCTCTTGGTCTTGATCGAGCTGACTGACGAAAACACTCTTTCGACATCTACATTTGCATGAGGCAGACAAAGCAAACTTTGCATGAAGTCGCACAGAATATTAAATTGCGCATTTCCAGTGCCATCGGCAATCTTTTCGAGACGACCCCAAAATTCTTCTGGTTCCATATCTTCACTGTCGAAGGGTAAGGTGACATGGGAAAGCCTACGCCACTGGTCATCAAGTGCTCGCAGTCGAGGCTCGGATATGATGTTAGGGAAAGCTACAGCAAGAGGAACAAGCGAAGGAAACTTCACATGGCTCACGGCCGGATCTAACACTTGAAGCATCTCGATGATCGGGTCTCCAATTGGGAAGCGACTCTTTATCTGAGAAGCAGCTTCGATGTAGAAATCTTGCACGCACTTGAAGAAATGCTGCACGTCTGTTGGTCGTTGCTTGTACTCTTCCTTCATCAAACAAAGGGAAATCTTTGCTCCCATATACATTTTTGGCAATGGCAGAAAATTCACTTTGCTTGCTGGATCGATATCTTTCAATGGTATCCCTTTCCAGTAGGCTTCGAGTAAATAGCAGCTCAGCAACTCTCTGTAAGCAGCACTTAGACCATTGTGGAGACAGTGGACTGAAGACTTCGAACTCTGGAACATGACATTTAGCTCGGTAAACTTTGGAAGCACAAACTCCAAAAAGTGGAAATACAGCTTCCATTTAGGATTCTGCAACAGCGAAAGAATCTTCTCCGAGATTAACAACTTATCGTGACCAGCCACAGCTTGGAAGAAAAGAATCAGTGCGTCCCATTGCTCAATGAGCCGAGACACACGGGAATGCAGCGAAAGCCATCTTGTTTGACATGGGCGCAGCAATTTGTGTGGCTCCATATCGCAGAAGTGCTGGATTACTCTGTATTGCTCTTGACGTTTAGGGCTGTTGGAGAAGTAGTTGTAGACATTGCGCATTAACTCCTCAGCTGTGCGGGGAAGTTTTTCACAAGCATGTGATGCGCAAAGATGAGCACTATGACAAATGCATCGCATGACAAAGATATTTGGTATATTTTCTTTAAGGCGGGACACAACGCTGTTATGCTCTCCAAACATAACATTACAAGTATCAGCTGCAAAACCAATGACATTGTTCAAACGGATTTTGTCTCTTTCTATTGCATCTACAAGGGTCTGATACAGTGTCTCTGCATCAGCTTGCGGGACATCGAGAAGATCGTAAAGTTGGCTTTGCACAGTGAAAGACTGCTTATCATAGTGTCGGGTAACAATAGCTAATTCTTTGCAGGTGGAGACATCGGTAGTTTCATCAATGATCACAGAGAAGTGTGTGTTTCGCAAACATTGTACATGTTCTTCATGAAAATGGGCCGACAATGCATTTTTTACTATGCTTTTGGCTTTAGTGCGTTTGCATTTAAAATGAGCGGCAATTTCTGAATCTGGGCACAACTTCGGCAGAAGATCACTAAAATGATCCATTATATTAAAAGACAGATTGTGCTCACTTATAAAGCTGGCCATACGCATTTCAGCATCATGAACTTTACTTTCCACTGGCGCTGAATGACGAAGTAGCATAGAATCAATTCGATTCAGGGTAGGATCAACAAGAATGCTTATTTTTTCCTTGTGGTACGCCGTTTCTCTATGCTTTTTTAAGGCCGTTACTACTGCTGCTAGTTCCCTTTTACAAACTTTGCAGTACGCTTTGCTGGGGTTTTTAGCAACAGGTTGAAGCCAACTTCTAAACAAAGGATCTTTTTCCCAAGCCCGGCGGTAATTTTGCTTGTATTTAGCGGGTTCCTTGCTTGCTGGCCTGACACAGACCATCTAGAGTTGGATGTGATTAACTTACATGAATGTCACTTAATCACTGTAAATACAATTAAATAATTAATACAAGAAAATTATCACTGTATTTGTTAAAAATGAACCAAAATAAATTGTGTTGGCAATGCCATTGAACTTACAATGTGCTCATTAAATATTTTTTTATCATTTTCCCCATATTTTTGATTATCCAAAGGTGAA